TCGTATCTCCTCCTCAATGAAGCAATATCGAGGACTAGTTCCAAAGCAAATTTGTTAAGCAAGTCCCGAGGATGATAGTGGGCAAAAAAAAATTCCCGGAATTCCTTCCAGGATTTCTCGGAAAACCAAAAAACCTCAAAAAAATTCAGTTTTTGGCCCATATCTCGGCAACCAGACCTCTTAGCGACTTGAAACATTTACCAATCGATTTCTGCCATAATTTAGAACAATATTGCAGAAGAAAGTTTTCAAAAATATCCTTTCGTTCGGTCACAAACTTTAAAATTACATAAACACCTACAAACCGATCGTTCTCCTAGCTTGAACGCACCCCAACATTATACGTCAGAGCTATTTTTAGATAACATAAGGAAATAGCGCTTAAATTGTCACTAGACTTTCTAATTAACTTGTTTTATATTTAAAACAAATTCAAATTCGATTGTAATTCAAACACCCTTCCCGGACCGTCAGGGTTGTATGAATAATTTTATGTGTGCATAATTTAACAGTAAAATGATTCGTAGATATATCTTTTTTTAAAGGTGATGGTTTGCCTAATCTTTAATAGATTCCGATATTTGTCCCTAATGGAAGTCAGGAAAATGTATTGAAAATAGTTTAAAGTTTAAAGTATAAAATATATCCAAATTATTGATTTCAAAAGTGTTCAAACGCTATGAGTTGTCCTGGAACATTAAAAAAATAATATTAGGGATTAGAACACATTTATTTGTTTTATGCGTGTATTATGATCCATTAATGGAACTTCTAGATGCAGTTATGTGATATTGTTAACATACGTGAACATGGCAGATATCGCACATACTGTCAGCCCTGTTCTCAGTCTTTTCTCTTGCACATTGCACACGCCTAATGCGTTTTTTTCCTTTGATGTATCGACTTGGGTTCAGGTTGTGTAATCGATTTGCACTTCTCGCTGCTATGAATATGGCTTGAGAGGATTTAATTTCATTTAACCCCAACATTCGAGCTCTGCCTATCATTTGATGTAGGCCTATAGAAGATGGAATACTTCATTGTTGTCAGAATGGAATTCTTGTCTCTTTTACAAATTAAATACCATCGGACTTCAATTTTTACTTTCTCGATTATACGAAGTATAGAGAAAGTCTTGTAATAGTGCAAAAAAAAAAAATCGAGATTTTCACAAATCTCGACGTTTTACACCTCACTGATACGGAAAAACATAATTTTGCAATCTTGTCCGTATGTCTGTGTGTGTGTGTGTGTGTGTCTGTGTCTGTCTGTCTGTGTGTAAACACGATTACTTGAGTACCGTTACAGCTAGGTTGATGAAATTTCATATATAAGTATTATATCAAAATCGTAGATCCGTATCAACTTTTGAGCGATTTCCGATAACCGGATGTGGTACTTTTTCTACTTTGAATTTTTCAAAAGCCTATAACTTGAGTACTAATTTCGATAGATAAATGAAATTTCACACGTAAGCAAAAGATCTAATTTTCTACCTTCTATCAAATTTTGAGTAATTTCCGTTGACCGGAAGTACTAATTTACGCTATTTCCGATTTCTCAAAATACGCATGTAAATTTATAAAGTACTAATAATATTGCGCACTAATACGCACATTTGGTTTTGGTGCTAGCTTGGTGCGCAATTTTTTTTTCTACTAGATTTTATTCTATTTTTAAAAGTTTAAGTAAACAAAAATCATGTTTATATTCCGAGTTGACATCCCACGTAGTGTTATATTAGAATATTCGAGAAAGTTTAGGGGAGATCACTCCCGGTTTATTTAATTTGGCATTGCATTACCAACAATCAGTTTCAGCGGACCAGCAGTCTCTCATTATTTAAAGCACGTGAAATCATATTGCAAAATCCGTTCACATTTTGTTCCAATCAGTAGGACAGGAAACCCCTTCTCTTTCATGTTTAATTCACTGTTTTATCTACAATCGTTTTAACAAGCTATCAAATTAGCAAGAGTTTATATAACTAAAAATCAATGGGCTCTTCATTTAGAACACGATTTTTTGTTATTTTCCTATTTACATAATGAATAAACTTTCATTTTATGATTTCATTTCATAATTATGTCCCATGAAAAACATAAAACTTTTTTTTTCAAAAACAATGGAAAAATTATAAAGTATAAATATAAATGTAATACCTCAATAGTAAATCTTCGAAAAATCAACAGAAATTTGTTTCCGTTAATTTAACCGGCGTTTTCGCTTCCGCGGTAGTTCGGAAAACTATAAAACTGCCTTATTTTTAATTGATGGTGTAACACATATTTGTAAAGGATTAAATTACAGTACCTCTTCTCTCCTACAATGTAGTTAACCAACTATAAGGCGCTTCCATGTCATATCAAATGCATAAAGCAAGCAGAAGACAATATGCTATTCAGGATTCCTCTCGAAAAAGTAAATCAGACACAATAAGATACTAGCACATCTTTCTTTAAATTAACACTAATACTAGTGATCTTTTGACTATAATAGTTTCATAATAGTTTGATACTAGTATATTAATAAAATGCGCTTTCTATTTTCTAATAGATCGACGCCTTTAGTTTGTGAAACGTTGTAAATGTTATATAATCTGTGTTGAGTGTATGTTTGTTTATATGGATCGAATACAAGTATATAATGACATGTATGTATTACCTGCCAATTGCTAGCAATGACGAGCAATGAATTGTCAAATAAAATTGTAAACATAACATTTTAAACAATAAATTACAGTTTATTTTAATTTTTTTTAAAATTGTGGTCAAAGCCCTTATGGTCAAATGTACGGATGTTTAAGCAACACATAAAACCTAAAAATGTGTATGGGTTACCTAGGAAAATATACATTAGTAAGTTATATTTACAGGCATAAAACACGGCGACTTGCCCTAATTTATTTTTAAAATTTGTGTACACATTGTTAAGCAAGTTGAATTATTAGTGAAGGAAACAACAAAGATGAGCGAATTCATTTGAATGTTTTCCTCAGCACCCGGTAATTATTATAAAAAAATATTTTCCTTCAGCTATGACTTTTATACAGTACACCCTAATGTGTGCTGAGCCGTAGTGTTGGCACGCCCGTACAACAACAAATATGATCCAAAAATAGCGTCGGAATTGTTTAAATTTAAATAACTCAGTTTTAGAAAATGAGGTCACGTTTTAAATCACATTGGATTGGAAAATATTGATGAAGCCAACTTAAATTTTTTGTCAGAATTTTTCTGGCGGCTGGCACGCTAATGAAATATCAATGTAAATATAATACCTTGAAAGATAGAAACCCTTTGAGAAATCATCAGTAGTTTTTTTTTTTTTTTTTTTTTTTTTGTATAAAAAATTTGCAAGCGATTTAAATAGAGAAAGTTTCCATAATGAAAACTAAACTAATTCATACATATTAATACAAGCCTTGTTTCTATGAAGTCTATGACGTAATTATGATATAAAACAAATTCAAAAGCTATAAGTTGTCAACATTTTTTTTGGTAATACTTTGAAATAATTGGACAAATATGGCTCTAATCCCCAAAGTGTTAAAAGATAGGAATGTCTAGTAAATAACAAACAATTACATAGTAAGTAAATTTTAGGACTACTATAATTTATAAGAGAAAACTGGTAGCCTTTAAAATAGGGGGGGGGGGAGGTCTCAGGTTACTGCCTTCTCGTTAATAAAGGTCGCACATTTAGCAGGGAATAAAGTACTCATATTTTATTGTGAATATTATATGTTAGAGAATTATTTATTGATTTTTGTAAGAAGATGGTGATAACGGATAGCTGTAGTAGAAAGTAAGAAAGAATTAGGCTGATAACGTGGTAATGTCGTGACTAAAGTGTTTAAGTAGTCAGAACATGCATACTAATCTACGAAATAAAAATAAACTTTTAGACCTAATTTAAAAGATTGTGTGAGAAAACATGAGAGGCAGGTGAAGTTGTAAGTTGCTGGACTGTGGGCGGTTATTGGGATATGCATTTGGCAATGGTGTAGTTTTTTTGGGGAACGGAGTGATCGGTTTGTAAGAGAGACGGGGTGGTTGAATGGTAGAGGGTTAGGTTGCTAGTCTTATGGTCTCTAGTTCGGATATCAGTTTGGACGCGTCGCTGTAGGACGTGACTACTCCATCCAGCTCTGATACGTAAAGAAACGTAAAGCTCTGGTAAAGAAACATGTGACGTAATGTTTATATAAAGTGTGTGTGAGAGTGGCTTCCCTTGAAAGTGGTGTGCGAGCGTGAAAAAGAAGTGTGTGAACGGTAGTGTGTAAGCAGTGTGATGTAACGTCAACTTAGCGTAGCATGCTCTCAGTTTTTCTCCGTGTTCACTGTTTCTCTGGTAGTTGTTGGAAATTATACTTGACTGTTGCAATTTCGCTTTGTGGATTTTGTTTTTATTTATGTTAAACTTGGCCCCAAAAATAATTTGAAAGCTGAGTGTAACAAATATGAACTCTACTTTACCTGCAAAATGGTTGGCTAGGTCTAAAGAGGAATCTTTATGTTCTGTTTGTTATGGACGCATGCCGTTAAGGAGTTCGAAGGCCGTTGTCCGTACATGTTTTTAAGTGTGCTTTATCAGCAAATTTTATTTTAGGCATCCACCCCTCTCCTCCCTCCCTGGAGCAAAATTTATAGTATATAGAATACATACACTTTGAACATTGTCAGCCTCCCCCTCCCGGAAATTTAATTGCCTCCCTCGGAAGTTTCAAGCGCAATACTTCCCCGGAGAAAAATGTCTGTTTACCAGTCTACTGAGTTTTATTTGAAATATTACTCACAGAAACAGTTTTTGTCCATTAACTGAATAAACCAATGTTTCTGTCTCAAACATTTTTGTTTACATTTTTCATGAAAATTTCTTAATAAAAGTCGTATAATGCATGTTAAGATAAACGCATGACCAGCTGCTGTCGACAGTGCATAGCTTGTAAAATATAGGTAGTCTCGGACTATGACCTGGTTTAAAATAGAATCACTGGTAGAGCTAAACTAAACAATCAGGCTGTTTCAGTGGTGTGCTGTGTTGGGTTGCCGACATGAAAACTCGCGTTAAAGAAAGTAGGTCGACTGTTCGTGTTGTGTAGGCCTACAGATAAAGGAAAGACAGAACAGGTAGATTAATTATTATTATTATTATAATATATATATATATATATATATATATATATATATATATATATATATATATATATATATATATATATATATATATATAATACGGTATACTACTAACTGCTAAGTCACTTATAATTTAGTGTTGATTACTCTGCAAATACTCGTATAAATAGAAATTGTTGTTAGTGTTAGTGCATTTTTTTAAATAGTTGTAGAAATATTACATGTATTTATGTTAGTCTATATTTAAAGAATATTTGTAACATCAATATTTGTAACAGTATATTAGCCACATCTTCATATGCATTTTATACGCACACGAAAATCAAACAGTTAAGATTTAGAGTAAGAGTAATGTTGTTTATAACTACTTAAAGGAACTTCTTGTGCTACATATCTGATCAGCACACGCAAAAAGAGAGGGACATGGTTTGCTAGATTTGCCTGATTTATTTACATTTAAATATACATAAAAAGCATGCACCTATAAATATTAGAAATGTTTGTCTATCACCAGTTACCTAAAGATAAAGCAGATCAAAATGTCGAAGAAATCATTGGACTCATTGGAAAAGGTATTTAATTAGATAAAATAATTGCGAAAGACTTTTTGTTTATATTGTGGGGAAAAAACTGCTCTAAAATAACAACATTCAAATAAAATGAGTTGTTACTCTATGCCTAGGCGTATAGACCTACACAGAGTAGAACTAGATATAGGTCTAATAATCACGTATGTACTATAAGCATTAAATACGCTTAATAAATCCTATTGTATAACCAGACTGGAAACATGGTGTGAGAATAGGTGGGGGTGGCTTTGGAACAGTGTACACTGTGCACCCTTTAAAAGAGCAAAGTCAAATACAATATGCCGTCAAGGAGATTATTTTGGATGTTAACAGTGAGAAATGTTTGGTCAGTAATTATTTGAATTTAAACTTATTAACAAAATGTAAACAAAATATTAACTTTCAAAATATATTTTACTGCTGACAGTAAGGATGCGGCTTCCTATTCCCTAACATTGTTTGTTAGTTTTTACTAACGCTTGTGGCTTGTCTTAATGAATTATTTACAAGTTGAATTTATTTTAAAAATAAATTCTACTGCCTTCAGAGATCTCTCAGAGCAAACATAGGCTACACTAATGATGTTCTGATTTATAAGGACACATTGCGCTTGCTTGACATTCTTTTATTAAGGGTTATGCAAGTTGAATTTTTGTTATTAAATATTCCTTTTTTTTTAAACAATATTAATTACAGAACAGCTTCTTAACGGAAACAGAGATATTGAAGACAATAGGGAGCCACAAACGAATTGTTCCATTTATCGGCGCCAGTACATACAAAAACACCCTTTTAATTTTTATGAGATACATGGAGCAGGTACATTTAAATATTTTTCAAAAGCTTTTATATTAAATTTTTTAGTATTGAATAATCATGTTTCCAGCACATATCTTTTATTAAGGAATACATTTTCTCCAGGGGTCTTTGCGTAAATATTCTGAAAGTAAACACGGACTACAAGAATGGGAAGCAAGCATATTCACAAAACAGATTTTGGAAGGACTGAGCTACTTACACGAACGCAAAATAATTCATAGAGACATAAAAGGTCTAGTGTTTGCATCAGTTGAGAGTCTTAATTTTTCGACAAATAGTTTTTACTATTTTTTTATATTAAAAAAACCAATCTAATGACAAGCTTTTAAATGAACTGAAAATACGGGAAATAACGTTAGGTATCTTTCATAGAAGTTTTGGTCGCTCATGAGATTTTCTTTACATATTTTAGCGCCCAACGATTGTATGAAATCAAGCACATTAGACTCATTACTTACTAAACCCATTATCCTTTTGGATAACTTTGAGTTTATTGGTCATTCATAAATGACGTAACGCTTTCTTGACGATTTTTTCTTCCCATCCCCCCCCCCTTCACTCTCCCCACTGTCACACGTTGTCATAAAAGGCCAAACACTCATATCTAAAAGACGTCACACCTAAGCCAACATGCTTTTTTTTCAGAGCGTGTAGTTGAACACACTATTCCTTCATTTGCTAGAAAGATGATTTTACTATACACATTTAAAAAGAAATCACACCTCAGCTTCGTTTTTTTTTGTCTTTTAAAAACATGGGAAATATTTCTAAAAATGTTTTCTGAGTACAAATCTCATATGAATAACACATGAATTATTTATGCATGCTAACGTCAAAATGATAACGATGAATTAATATCATTTGCTCGCGTTGAGATTTCCCACTGCACACTTTCTATGTGAGTAAATTAAAACAAAAAACAAAGATTGAGTGTGTTCAGTACCCATTGTTAACGGAAAAAAGTAATTTGTGCCGTGTTACAATATGTATATTTCAACCACTCGGGTGTCTGAGCCACCCCTCCATCGTCAATACAGTACAACTGATTGTAAAATAACACTAATAACCCATAAAGGTATGAATAGATTTATTACAGATTTCTGTACGTAATAAGTGTTGTTTTAATTATAAACATTAGTTACACATATACAATTTACATAACTTCATAATAGCTTAGGATTATAGCGCGTACACATGCGCTCGCCTTGTCTTTACAATAGCATTGGAATGGATTGGTCCCCGACTCAAAACAATCCGATTGTAATAATGATAAGGGTTAAATTATTTCTACAAAGTATACTTGACTACCCGTTTTCCTCGGATACAGTTTTTATTGTGTTTTTATACTTGTTTTTCTTTTTAACTTATTAATTTGGATTTGGCCTATCTTTTCACTGGCACGCTAAATCATGTTTAACGGTATATCTAAATACATTTATTGTATACTCAAATTAGAATAATAGTGAAGCGTATCCTATTAAAAAATGATTATAGTTATGGAACCTAATAAAAATAGCCAACAGACTCATTATTAAAGCTATAGCCGACAACAAATTTAGCTATAGAATGAGCTAATCTTTTAAGTGGGCAAAACTGTCTTCCATGGAAGCCATGTGTGTTGCGAAACTAAGTAAATGAAGTATTTGTTCTGAACTTTTATAAATAAAGAGGTGTTCTTGCAAATGAACATTAATTGTCGTCTATAAATATATTTGTTCATAACATTTTGGGGGGAAAAAACGATTGCCTCTGTATAAATCAGAATTTCACTGTTCTACACATAGTGCAGAAGCTCTTATCAAGCGGAACAGATAAACATAAAAACAAAAAAAGGACATATAGCCTACATACTTATGATTTTTGGGTAAAGAGAAGCTGTGTTATAAACAGTGACGTATCCTTGATCAACAGATTGTTCGAGGTCTGAAGCTTCCAATGTTGACTTAAAATATTTTGTCCAACTACAATGATGTTCTATTAAAAATGTGTGTCGGTTTTAAAAGCGAGTTTAGAAGTGGCCTAGTAGTTTGAGTTTTTTAAAATCACGCTAACTAATACAACGTTTTATTCTATTTTAATTACTCTTACATTGTATGCACTTGTTCTATTGTTATATTCAATATTACAGGGGACAAAGTTCTAATGCAAGATGAGCGCCATGTCAGACTTGCAGACTTTGGGATTTCTAAAATCCTTCAAGATGTTTCTAGTACATCAACGTCTGGTGTTGGTACTACAAGATGGATGGCACCAGAAATTATGGATGTAGAGGCGCTCAACCTCAAGCATAACGAAAAGGCTGATATATGGTTAATTGTTTTTTTTTACTCACAACATCTCAAATGTAAGACAAATAAATAACTTGAATATTTAATGTATATGTGCTAAATATTTTACCATTTTCAAGAACCGCATGTTATAATTTATCTTTGCATGAAATACAAGGTTAGCAATCTCCTCTTTTAATTGTGTGTACGTATAACATTAAATTTAGTTAAAATTGATGATATTTTAAATTTGCTGACGCTTCAAATCTTTGGTTTTAATTTTTAACATTAACATTCTAAAAATCTTTAAAAAATCTATAATGATGTGTATAAATTGTGTTGATAAAAAATGAACTATTGTAAACGTAGAGGTAAAGATTTTCACGTTTAAAAATACATTTCAAGTCAGTTGTAAAATCACTACTTAAAAAAATAATCTTATTCCCACATTTATTTCAGGAGTGTCGGGTGTACCGTGATAGAGATGATAACAGCCAAATCTCCGTATATGGAATTTCTAGATCATCATGTCCCATTTCAAATTCAGATGGAGAACATACCATCACTTGGAACATCAATAACCCCATCAAATGATCTTATTTGTTTTTTAACGAAAACATTACATAAACACGCAAACAATCGACCGACAGCTTTAGATCTTCTGAAAAATGATAATTTTGTTGCAACAGGTAAGCATTTAAAAAAAAAGATCAATAACATAATTTAATATAATAAACCAACAAATCGCAAGCTAAGATGCAGTTTTAGATAGTAAAATATTTGGTGTCTTTAAAAACGTCCTAACAATGTCAAACAAATCAAAATTATTTATTCAGGTGCTCTACATAAAGTGGTGCTCGTCGGAAGAAGCAACGGTAAAACTTCCTGCAGGGATACGTTGATGGGTCGATCTTTAAACAACACTACCGTATCTCCAACTCTTGGCTTTGCTTATGATTATATTCAAGTGTTCGACATGCCATCAGTTGACGATATGTGTATTTATGAAGAGATGGTGCAGTTCTATGAAAATGCAATCAAAGTTATGAATGCAGCTAAAGAAGGCGTTACTGCTTTCCTATTAGTATTGCGATATGGCAAAAGATACACTAAGCAAGACCACGACTTAATCCTCTCACTGAAAGATTTCTTTGGAGATGATTTCTTAAGAAAATATTGTATAGTTTTGTTTACCCACGGTGATATATTTAGTGATGATCTTAAATTGTTTACATTCAAAGAATGGTGTGATTGGCAAGATGGCTATCTTGAACTTTTGTATATGGCTTGCAATAAGCGTTTTGTGTTGATGTTTAATAATAGCACCGACAACACACAACACAAATGCCGTAATGAAGTGTTTGAGTTCGTTTATAAATTAAGTCAACAACAAGAGCCGTATACACTGACAGATTTTAAAAATCACCAGACTGCTCGTGAACAAAATTTATTATATATGCCATCAACAGACAAAATTGGAGTCATTCAGTTAGTTTTTATCAGCTATTGTCAGGATGCTGAGAATATAATGAAAGCTAATAACTGTAAAGGTTTTGAGGAAATGAAAACTAAATCACAGTATTTTAAAGACCGAATATCAGTAGAAAGAGAGAATTTTAATAGGTCGACTGTTAACAGCGATGTTCTTAAAAAAGAAATACATGAAGAAATTAATAGAGAACTCAACAAACTAGAAATCAGTTTTACTAATGTAGATAATACTATTAGGAGCTTTTTTGCAAGTGAAATTTCTTGTACTGATGCAGAAATTGTAATAAAAGCTTTGCGTAAAGATTTTAAATGCGATAGTACTGAAAATGCAGAGGGACTATTTCCAAAAATAACAACATTTAACATTGGACGATTGTTTAAAAAAATTGTTTCTTCAGTAACAAAGACAAAAAACGGGTGAGTTTAATTAAAGTACATAAAAACACGTCTACGTGATAAGACACTCAAATAGGCATCAGTTGACGAAAATCACAGAACGTTAACGAATTTAAAATAAACAAAGGTGGTAGTAAAAAAGTGTATTTACAGTGTAGAGCTAGTGAATGCGTTTTGACCACTTTCACGTGGAATCAAAACTCAGAACATAATTCAAAACATCTATTTGACAACGACTGTAGCTGTTGCCTGTCTGCATTTGTCATGGTAATGCTCCAGGTCTCCGAACCATAGAGCAAAACTGTTTAACATTTGTGTTGATTACTTATATATACGTAATCACAAGTATTTTACATATCTCGTTATGTAGAGCATTATAACAAAATACCACAGTATCATGTTGAATATTTTGCTGGTTGGAAGGAGTAATGACTGATCTGCCTGTAGAAATACTTTGATGACAGGAGCTAACGTAACTCGTCACAGGGATTCTTAGCTTAGACGTGAGCTTAAGGATAACTTGTATTAATGTACTTAAAGAGCGAGATCTGTTGAAAATTGTAAACACTATTCGCGTCTGCTCGTGTGTAGTTTTTTATATTTATTTTAAAGTCTCGATGTAAATGACTGATTTATGAACTTGAACTATAATACATTTTTAAAATCATCGAGATCTGTTGAAAACTGTAAACATTATTTGTGTCTGCGTGTGTGTAGTTTTTTATTTTTATTTTAAAGTCTCGATGTTAATGACTGATTTATGAACTTGAATTATTATAATACATTTTTTAAAATCAATATACACATTCTTAATTAAATATATTTTATCCATCCATAAGTCACAGTTATTAGTTCGCTTCTAACATTAAACTGTTAATGTGTTCTTCGATTTATTTTTTAGCATATACAACAACGATGTTTAATCATATAGTCAGTTTTTTTTCAGCGTTTAAATACATTTTTTATGTTATGATCACATTCCTATATTTTTACATGGTGATATTTCACTGATAAAATTTTGAGTTATTTTTTCTTCGATGAAACGTTTTTGTTTTAGCCTTACTCCTTACCGAACTCAGTATAATAAAAAGGATGTAATGATGGATGTAATGATTGAATTTTTTATTATTTTATTACATCGGGTAACGTCTATTATTGATATACTCATTTTGAAACCAATGGTAAACTTTCGAAACTACACATTAATAGATGTTTGAACGCAACTGTTTTATTTAACTTTTAAAATCCCGAAATATAAATATCACACACAAAAACGAACACGGTAAGGACTAAAGTCATAATTATATATACAATGTGAGGGCACGAAAAGATGACTGGTATTGCAATAATATAACATAATGTAAGTCAATCTGTACTAGGCTGATTATGGGAGACAACTCATGTTGGCAGGTTAGTAGTATAGTAGATCGTGTTTGGACCGCAAGAGGAGGAGGAGGCGGGGGGGGAGGAGGAGGAGGAGGGGAGGGGGAGGAGGAGGAGGAGGAGTGATTGATTATTTTGACCGTTATTGATTGACTTTTGCCCACCTGTTGCATATTTTGACCGTTATTGATTGATTCTTGACCACCTGTTGATTATTTAACCCGTTATTGATTGATTCTCGACCACCTGTTGATTTTTGTCCCTGTTTTTTGACCAACTATTGATTTTTTCAGCCCGTTGTTGATTGTTCATTAAACAACTGTTGATTATTTTGACTAGTAGGTTATTGTTTTGATCGGTATGTTGACCACTTGACCACTTGTTGACCAGATGTTGTTTTACATTGTTTTATTAACGGTTATCATAGAGGAGGAGGAGGTTATTGTTTTGATCAATTGATCGATATATTGACCAGTTGACCAACTGACCACTTGAGCTATTGTTTTATTAATGGTCTTATACAGTTGTTGACCAACTGACCAGTAGTTGACCAGATGATCAGTTTATCGGTTGTTGACTAGTTGCCCATTTGTTGGTTGTTGTTTTTTTTTTTTTTTTTTTTTTTTTTTTTTTTTTTTTTTTTTTTTTATTGACCTGGACGACAGTCCGGCTTTAACAGTATATAGTAAAATAGTATTTCACCACCCTCCAGTGAGGGTGTGGGTGGGGGTGACGCGGATGAAACCCGGGGGGGGGCGGGGTGGGGGAGGTGGTAGCAGGTGGTATCCCTTCCCTTTGTGTGTTGCAATCTCATTCTCCCTTTGTCTGAAGTCTGTGTGAGCATGTCCTTTTGTGTGCCGCTACTCGCGTCATACTCAAAGGCAGGTGCTGTACCTCATTGTCTAATCCAACTCACGCGCCTTTACTATCGATTTTTTTAAAAGTCATGTTTAAACATGTTGACCGTATAAAATCTTTGTTGAATAGGACTGATGGATGTCGAATTCTACTCGTCCTAATATAAAGAGATACATCACGTGCCAACAGCCGGGCGGTTATTGCCCCCTTCCTGGTTTCTACTTGCTTGTTGTGTTTATGGCTTGCGTTTATATACACACACACACACACACACACAACTTACACACAACTTATATCACAACAAAAGACTTCTTATATTTTATGAATTTATTTCAACTTTCTCCAAGTCATCAAACGCTTTTAAAATATCATATCTCAGGGCGAGTAAATGTTCAAAGGCTACACGAGAGAGATTAATTCCAGAATTATTAGGAAATTTAAGATCTGTACCATCCATAAGATCTCTAAGATTTAAAGTGTTTTTGTTCATGAATTGACTAACGATAGCTACTTTATAACCACTGTCATTCGTCGTTCGTATTTCCGTCACTTTATTACTACTCCTGGCCACAAGTATCCAATCTTCACTAGACATCTTGAAAGCGCGGAAATAAACGTTTATAATTAGTGCCAATAAGTGCAAGTGTTAAACGTGATATAAGTCGATCGTTAATATATTGTCGAGCCGGTGACGGTGAAAAAGGGTGGAGAATAAGTTTTAGGCTAGCTCCACCAAAACAAAATAAACCGCGAACAGTTGGTAATGTAGTTCAACGACCTCCTGAAATCGCGGGTGATGCAGCACGCGACCATCTTCTTTTGTACTTTGTGAGGTCAATAACCTTTGTATAAACATCCGCGTTTGTCTGCTTATAGAATAGTCGATAAAAATTACGGCGCTAAACTCGGTACCAATCGTAAGTGTTAAAACACGCGCACGTCAATCCTGGTATGCAGTACACAATGGCCCGCTCCACCCTCCCCCTTGTTTACACTCACGGTGTCTGCGTATAGAATTTTGAATAAATTTAGCATGTAGTAATGTTTACAAATTCCACGCACAAGCGAAACACGGGCACGCGTCGGCCGCCCATTGTATTCTGTGAGAACAATACCCATTGTATGAGTAGCTGAGCGCTGGACAATAGGCTTTGAAAACCCGACCGCGTCTTGGTCCAAAGGGACGACTCGTTTCACTGCGCAAGCGTGAAACAGGCGAGATAAAGAAATTAGATTTTTGATTTTATGTATCAAGCAGGTGACGAGGTATGTTTTTGTTTTTAAACCAAGGATTGCAGTAGAGTTCTATGACCTCCACATCTGCGTGACCCACGCCTACATAATTAGACCACGCGTTCATAGTGAGGATTTATGTTTTTGTTTTTAAACCAAGGATTGCAGTAGAGTTCAATGACCTCCACATCTGCGTGACCCACGCCTGCATAATTGACCCACGCGTTCATAAAGTATAAATTCAGACGAAATTTTACTTCAAACACTACTTCTCAAGACTTCAACTCATCTTCACGTCCAGCCAACCAGCCATACTGCTACGGACTACATACCTTGTGATACCGCGTCCACTGAACTAACTATACTGCTACGGACCGCATACTTTGTCATTCCGAGTTCACTTCATCTTAGACATTCACATCATCCAGCACTAAGGTAAGGTTAATATTTTTATTTTTTATTATATATATATATATATATGTATATATATATATATATATATATATATATATATATATATATATATATATATATATATATATATATATATATATATATATATATTCTTTTAAGGGAGTTAACTCAGCGAATATAAAGATACGTTTATTCCCTTTAATAAAATTTTATTTATTTATTTTCTTGTAGTCAAATGTATTCGCTTTAATTTGTAATATACACCCAACCCAGCCATTATATTACTAATGAAGATACGTTTATTCCCTTAAATAAATTTTTTATTTATTTACTTTCTTGTAGTCAAATGTATTCGCTTTAATTTGTAATATACACCCAACCCAGCCATTATATTACTAATGAAGATAGGTTTATACCCTTTAATTAAATCTTATTTATTTTCTTGGAGTTAAATGTACTAGCTTTAATTTGTAATGTACACCTGACCCACCCCTAGATTACTAATGAAGATACGCTTATACCCTTTAAATTAAATCTTATTTATCTTTTTAAATTAATAGTCGAATGTATTTGCTTTACTGTTAATCTGTAAGTTACGAGTTCGAATCCGGACTCAAGACAGTAAATCGCCCCTGAGTACTTTTGTTGTCTTGACTTACGTTAGGGAAAGTAAATAGTGCTGACCACACTAACTCTTCATATACTGAAGCTACAGAAACAAGTGAACTCTACTGCACTTGTCCTATATACCAACAGCTAAGAAAAAGGGAACTTTATTTTTTTTTTTTTTTTTACCCTTTAATTATATCTTTAATTTTTTAAAATAAGTAGTCATTGGTATTCGTTTTATTTTTTTTATTTTTTTTTATTATACAGTCAACCCTAACCACTGAACAAGCCATTGAATTAACCACCCACCCAACCCCACCCACATACAGCAACCCTCCGACTGACAGCTCTCAAACCGGCTTAGACATTAACATTAAAAAGTAAGTTCAATACTGTTTATTTTATTTATTTTATTTTATTTATATATTTTAATGGAATTAACCCGTTAATATAAAAATACGATTATACCCTTTAATTAAAGTTTATTTATTTTTTAAATAAGTTGTCAAATATATTTACTTTAATTTTATTTACGATTATTTTTTATTTTTTCTTTCTTACTTGTACAGACAGACTGAGATGCAAACCACCCATCCAGCCACTCACTCAACCATGAACAGATACGAATGCGCCACCTGTCCACGTGTTTTCAACAGGAGTGACAATTTGAAACGACATCAAGCTACTGCGCACGCCAGAGGAAAACATCAGTGCACAGAATGTGGCAAAATATTCACACGACCTGACAATTTGAAACGACACACCACCACAGCACACACCACTCTACTTACACCAATCGATACCCCATCAGCATCTGACAGACAAAGTGAACAACCGACATTAACATTTGACACACAAACTGAACAACCTGCATCATCAAACGACAGACAAACAGACAACCTACCTATACAATTAAAGAGACAAAGGGCCTATGACGAAACAACAAACAAACGCCTAAAGACACCTCACAACGATAGTAACGTTAATGTAGACACCGACGCTATACTTGTAGATGCCCTAAGGGGAGATGTGGTAGACATAGATTTAGAGGAAATGAACGACTTAGACTTACCGTTCGACGAAATTGACACCATTTACAACTTAAACAGCGAATTACAAAACATATACATTGACAATTGGCACTCCATACAGACACACGCAACTACAGGCAAACATATATCCACATTCAATTTTTTTCACAGCCCACTAGACACTACTCCAATAGACTGGGATACAAAACTTGTAGATACCATATTTAACACACGAACTAAGCGGTTCAAAATAAATTATAGTCACCATACCATTTTAAAACATAAAGAAACAGGGGAATATAGGTTTTTTCACTCAAGTAACAACAATGCATGCGTCTTAGAACTTCCCAAATTAATTAACAATAGAGTAGATTTTAAAGATTTTTTAGAACACTTAAACACAGCAGACATTCTAAACTACGCACAACACAATAGACCTAATACGAAATACGCCGTT